TGGATACCATCGGTTTCGATCAATTTTCGTAGTCATTAAATGTTCCATGCGTTTCCTAAAACACTGTGCCTAAACGGAGCCCGTTTCCTGTCTGTAAATACGACCTGTTCCTCGTGGCCATTTCTCCGCCTGTATTTATATTTTTATTTCTGATCGTTTGCGGTCGACATCGTAGACCGAGACCGAATAGAATAGGTGTGTTCGAAAATCGAGAACACGCTCCGTCTTCTTTCTTTTCTTCTCTCTTTCTCTCTGGATAACGATGTTTCCTATTTCGTTCAAACTTTGTCCTTTCTTTATCTGGTTGATAACACGACGTTCGATAGATTTTGAGAAGAAAGAGAAAATTCTCGAGGAGAGATCGTAAAAAGCGAAGATTCCAGTCGAATGTAATGTAAGAAAATTACTGTAATCGTAAGTGATTACGTTGAGTTTTGTATGGAAAGTTGACGATCGATACCTGCAAAAATGATTGATTGATGAAATTATGAATTAAATTAATTTTGTACAGTAAGTGAGTTTTTTTAAATGACAAAATTTCGATGAGAAACTCTTAAAATTTTCTGCCTGTCACTTTTTCACGAGTTATATTTTTCTAATGTAAAATCGAAATTTTTGAGAATTTTTTTTTTTGTCCGAATTTTAATAACAGAAAAGTATGATATTGAAAGGGAAATGGTATTCAAAATTTTTTTTCAATTCTTTTTCGAGATAAACAAAAATTTTATACTAACATATAATGCGATATAATTTTATATTCATTTCTTTTTTTTTTTTCTTCATTATTCCAAATCAAATTATAAAATTTAATATATTTATCTGTTTGATATTTGTTCTTAAGCTGCAATATGAAAAAAATATATATAAAATATATATACGACGTATAAAAGAATAAAAATATGTGTAGAATGTATATAGGATGTAATAATATGGTCAAAATATTTCCATTTTGTCTATTAAAAAGAGTTCGGAAATCAACGCCATCTCGCGTTTGGATCCGCGAAGCTTCGACTTGTTACTAGCATAGCAGAATATGCAAGGAGGTATTCGTGACGTCACATATCGGAGAAGGAGAACAATATTGTGGGAGAAGGATAAAGAAGACGTGTCACTATTTTTGGTTATGCAGCTCCTAATACCTCCCACCATTCCGAAAGCATAGGATTGAAAATTAAACAATTATTAATTTTCTGTTAAAAATTTCTATACTTTTAAGCTCGTATCTTAAAGTTAGAACTTTAAACAAGTTTCTCGTGTGAATTTTAATGTGAATTTCTTTTTAATTAATTATATATTAATGATTAATTACGTCGTATCGAACCGACGCCATTGATGCGCAATAAGTTTTTCATTAATTTCTTATTAACGTAGGATTTATTCTTAAATGTAAATATATATATCTGAAACGTTGTTTCATCCTTTACTTTCACGTATAATTTATATTCATAATTTTGCTGTTGTTTAAACGAATAAATAGATTGTTTATTAATCGATTACGAAGCGAGAGTTTGCGATTGCGATTTCTCTGTAATAATCGTATTAATAAATAATTAATTAGAAAGAATTTCACAATAAAATTTACATGAGAAACTTGTTTGAAGTTTTAATTTTAAGATGCAAGCTTAAAAATACAGAAATTTTTAGTAAAAAATTAGTAATTAATTAATTTTCAATATAGTATTAAAAATATTCGAAAATATTAGGAACTGCATAACCAAAAATAGTGGCACGTTTTTCTATCCTTCTCCTACAATATTGTTCTCCTTCTCCGATATGTGACGTCACGAATACCTCCTTGCATATTCTGCTATG